TAATACTAGATTTCTTTCTTTTGCAACGAGGGACATCAAGTTTTGTTTCTCGCGTGTAAAATTAACTCTTCTTTCTCGTCTTCTTTCCCCTTTCCATTTTCGAAACTCCTACACCAAATACGATGCAATAAAACAAACTTTTACGGGCCGAGTAAACTGTAACAACAAAATAACGAATGAAGCGAAATACGCCTGACACTTCCATTACCATAAACATCGAATCGGTGCGTTCAGAGCGCGTTTAACTAAAAATACGGCGATGCTCGCAGTGAAAAAGCAATCAGCAAGAATTATTATTAGAAAGTGAAACGCAACAATACAATATCAGAAGGCTTTTATCTGACGGATAAAATATCTGTCGATTACTATTTCGGAACTTTATCAGGCACCGGTGAAACAGGCTCTTTGTCTGAGAAATATATGTATCGTTCAATTTTTGTAGTTTTAATATTCTTTGTTTCTTTGGGCAGTTTTCGAAAAAACGAGCAATACTGAAATGGGACTTAGCACGCATATTTTTTTACTGTCGCTTATTATACATAAGTGGAAGAAAATTTAAACAAAAAAACTTGGAGCGGTTATAAAAAAATCGTAAAGTTTCAGGAGCAAATTACGGCAAAAACTACTAGTTTTCTTTAAACAAAAAGTTGTTACAACAGACTGTCTGAGGCAAAATCTCTTCTTCATTTTGTGTTTTATTTTTTGCGGCAATTTTCGAAAATCGGAGATTTATAACGAACATAGACCTGCACCATTCTCTTAAACGTCTTCCGCCTATTCAACAACAAATTTTAATTTAAAAATATAGAGCAATTTTTTGAAAATTTGAAAATGTCCCAGGAGCCTCGTGTATAAGCACTTCTCCTAATTAAAATATCGTTTAAATACCAGGGTCCGCGACATTTAAAAAATAATTTGTGTAATTTTTTGAAAAAACAAGTATGCATCAATGTAACACGTATGTCATATTACTCTCGTCCAGAGTTTTATATCCGATCATTTAGCATAATCTTTCAAAAAATTGTAAGCAATTCTCGAGAAAATGGCATTTTGGGCGTGTTTTGAAAAAGGAGGTCATTTCGAGGTCATTTTCACCGAAATTGAAAGAGTTTTCGAGAAATTTTATAAATATTCTTTTAAGACACAAAACTCATAACTGGAATTAATGTAGACAAATCATCAGTAATGTAAACATATAACGCGAGAGAGTATCAAAAAATACATTTTGCTAACTTTTGAAAAAAACAAGACCTACAGAAAAATGGTGTCATCTATACAAGGACGTTTTAAGACATCTCCCACGCAGAAGTTTAAAGAAAAAAATTTGAGTCTTTTGATGAAATATTTTGTTTCTGATATTTTGTAATATTGCCCATATTTTACACACAATGCTCAAAACTACTGAATTTCCAAAAAATGTATCTGGCTTTTTATGAAAGAATTAATTATGAAGAACGAATTTAATTTAAAGAAAAATCCCTATCTTTAATTGTAATCGTTGGAAGACGCCAAGTTCCGCAATTTTCCGAAAATTCAGTGTTAAAGTGAACCCGGTCTATTTCTTTTATATAAACTGTATTTCACTCTATTCTTACAAAACATATTTAAAGAAAAATATGGAGCAAATTTGAGATAAAAAATTTGGAACTGCCCCCGACGAATTTTAAGAATATTTTTCGAAATCGCAATCTTCGAGTGGGGCAGCGTTGGCCCGGAAAAATATTCATTTTGGAGAAAAATCTACAAAGTAGTTCTTGGGAGTAATCTAACTTACACTCTCTCACCCAAGACATTATATAACTGTCACACAACGATTGTAATCAGAGCCATCAACCTATCGCGCCAAGGCATTTTCGACGCGAAACTTTATGTTTCCAAGAGTGTACATGTTGACTCAATAAAATATTATTATTATTATTATTATTATTATTATTATTATTATTATTATTATTAATGGATCTTTGCTACAGTTCATATCATGTGAAGGTTTTCAAAGCGCTAATTTTCATTTTAATCACTGAAAATTCGGAGTGCAAATTTTCCTGAAAGTGGTCTCGTAAAAAGAAAAAAGTTAAAAAAATTGCTTCAAGCGGATGGTCGGAGGTCGGGAAGGGAGATGGTCTGTTAATAATATCTTATTTTTAATTTCTTGTTCTCAATAAAACCATTATAAATTCTCTGTTCACATTATATTGAATTATGATTTTATACTTATCCACATCTTCAAACTATTTTTGTACTTTCTTAATAAACAACTCTATTAATAGCTAAATGACTGTCTCCTTTGTTAGTTTTTATAAACAAGATATTGGGGTTATTCTTCAAATTTTCTGAGTAAGTCCTTTTTGTACTTTTCCTACAAATGTCACATAGGGGAGAGGGCAGGCTGGAGAGAACTGGGGGCTACTGTTGACAAATGTGATTATACATAACACATCCATAATCTGTTAAAATGATTTCTCAGATTTTGGCCTCACCGCCCTTTTTACGCTAACTACGTTTTACCAGTAGATCATCAGTGGTCATTGTGTAATGGTGGAAAGTGTGTTTAGTGATTGAATTTAAAAAAGTTGTGATTCCATTAAAAAGTAAGAACAGACCTTAAAATGACATTTGACCTTAAAATAATGATTTTAAATGTAGGTATTTCATATGAAATCTAATGTTTCACAGTGAAATCTTCTGCACACAGTAAAAGTATATTTCATTAAAGTATAAAGTGATACTGACACAAAATCTTCAAAACCAAGGGTGAGGGTTAACGTGAACATTGACTTTAGAACTTTCTACACTAACCACACAGTATTGAACAGCAAAATTTTACAGGTTTTGTTACGAGTATGTCTAAATATAATCACACAGTGCAAAGATTATGAAGTAAATGAGCAACTCCACACTGTTTAAGGGAGCTTGATAGATTCGTTCAAGTTACAGACACATTGTTTCAATGCAGCCCTGAGCTTAAATATCATTGTTCTGAAAATAATTGATTGAATAATATGTTCTGTCCTTTTTGTAGATAATAATTGCTAAAAAAAGTAAATGCACTCTTTCATAATTAGTTACCTACCTTCCTTCTTATAACTGTTCTTAAAATTATAGAACGAATAATAATAATAATAATAATAATAATAATAAAATTAATAATATAATCAGTACCTTTTACGAACAATAATTGCTAAATAAATAAATACCATCTTTCTTAATAAATTACCGTTCTTCTTTCTATTTCAGATGGTCACAACATATGTTAGGAAAACCCAAAGATACAATATCAGTCTAGAAATAACAAAGGAAGCTTCACATTGCATTGATAAAACTTCAGAACTCCTTCTAATGTGATAATGTTGTATAAGAGTATATTAAAAATACAAATAAAACAAAAAATAACCATTTTGTGTGTATCCACATTATCTCCACACATTGTCCGCATTAGCTGCAAAGGGGGGGTTAGAGAGAACAAATGTGTTTTAAAAATGTGTATTTAAAATGTATTTAGGAAGAAAATATTAAAACTGCTTATATGGAAAAGTAAAGATGAAATACTAAGATATTCTGCAGGTACAAAATGCACTTCAAATTAAAGAAAAAAATTATGTTAGAGCATTCTGAATGGAAAATGTCTTCTCTAGCACTCCTCTTCCCTACAGTTTTTACCGTTTGTTCACAAAATAAATCAAATCAAGTTTTAAGTTTCCTATGATTCTTTTCATCTTGTCACCTTAATGTAAACAGATTAGACACAAAGTTATTAACAGCATTCATTGTTTCTTTCGGCAATATTCCGCTGGTGTTCAAGAAGACCAGTGTACAAAGTCTTGGATCGTATCTAAAATAATACCTTTCTTACATGTATCAATATCAAGAAAATTATAAATACTTTCTACATTCAATGTATCAACAACATGATCAGTAATTACATTACTTCTGAGATACTGAAACTATAACAATTTTTGGTCCTAGTTTCAATTTGTTGGTTTATTAAAGCACATAGTTGGTATATTCATTTGAAATATTGATTAATTTATTTTTAGCATTGTTCCAATAAGCTCTTTTTAACCTTTAAAAATTATTATTATAAAATCGTTCTTAAGTCTCTGTTGCCATTAAAAAATATTAATTATTTTCAGTGTACCTAATCTCAATTCTTTTCTTATTCCAGGCCTCGAACTTTTAACTAATGGAAAAAAGTAGGATTTCTCTTTCCAAATATTTGATCCAATGCTCACACTTATTGTATTAAACATTCTTGTATTGTATCGTTTTAAAGATATGTTTTTACAATATTATAATTTAATTATTTACAGAGATCTGATGAGGGGTTAATATTGTAGACTAATTCTAGTGTCTACACTCATAAAAGTGATTAAATACAACATGCTAACATTTCAGTGTTTATTTCACATTCATCAGAGCTGTATGTGTATTGTATTGTATGTATTGAAATGGCAAAAATTACACAAATACCTTCTCTTCAATCAGCACAAAATCTTAATAATAAACCATTCGCATTTTACCTTTGGCTTAACGTAATCAAGATAAAATATTATCACTACTGCTTTCAATGCCTTACTTAGATCTAATTGTGCCTTAGGCTGTCAAACATTTTAGCACGCTTTTTTAAAATTTGTTTTTTTAATATTAAAGCTATTTATAATATTTTGGAAAAAAATTGTTGTACAATATTTGAAATTGATGCAAAATTTTGAACAAATAAATAATTGATTATATGTATACATATAAAAAATTCTCACGACGATACTTATTTAATAAATATACAAAATTTTGTATCCATTTTATTTGTATCTATCAATAGATATGTATTTAATAATTAAAACTTTCTTTGTTTAGAAATATAGAAATAAATATTACTATGAAAAACATTCAAATGTTAGCCTTATGAAATTTTGCATCACTGAAGTTTGTCCACCGCCAAAAATTGCACGCCCCACGCTGGAGCCTACTCAGCCTCTTCAGTAATCTTGCACTTAGTGCTTTACCAGAAAAATTTGTACCATATGTGAATATGCATAACACAGTTGATATGACACAAGTTGAATTATATTATTAATTTCTATTATCAATCTTGATTTCAAAACTCTCATGATTGTGAAAAGGTTAACTCAATGATACATATCATTGTTATTTTGATTTTGATCATTGATACATCACAAGTTATTTGACTTTTTTGATCTCCAACTTTTTATATAAACATTGTGTATTATTTGTTAACATTGTTATTAGTTATAGTTTAATTATTTAATCATGTGATGAAACAATTTATTCTATTACACTGGTAAAATGTAAACAAATACTTAAAAGCAGAGATAGTTATATGGTGCTTCAGACTGAAAACCTGCTATCACATACGTATCAGGGTTTGTCATTCTTTTTTTATTTAATTAACCTGAGTCACAGCCCCTCTTGTAAAGTCACTTGCACTTTGCAAAAATATTGAATGTATTAATACTCACAAACTGAATAACTACAGAAATAGAGGCCTTGCAAAGCTGAAGTAACTAAGTACCAAAATGTTCGAAACAAAGGTTTTGATATCTAAATATTACATAAGTTAAACAGTTAAAAGAGTAATGTTCCAAGAACCTTCCAAGTAGTAGTAAAATCTACCTAGCAATGGCTCTTATCGTATGTGAAGAATATGAATTCATAGTTTTTATGGATTAGTTGAAAAAAATTTTGTTTTGCCACTTGTCTCTCTTGGCTTTTGCAAAGCCACAAATATCATTACTGTGGCCACAAACTGAAATGAGAAATAATTATAACAAATATATGAATAATAATTATAGTATTAATATTTAATTATTAATACTTAAATGAAAAATTTTTAATAGTACTACAATTGAAAACATAAAATGTGGATCTATTCGCTTACTTTGATGTCCTAATATTTTTTGTGTTGCTTTCAACAATTGTGGATAGGAGAGATGTCTAGTCATTAAAGTTGCTTAAATTTTCTTCGACATTTATTCTGAACTTTTACACTTTTCCGAACATTAAAATCAATGATTTAGTATGGCAGTTCTGTTTCATTTCCTGACATCTACCTGCATTTCAGGTACCACATTTCTTGAACATCTCCCATTGTTTTGAGACATATTTAATTATGATCTCCTTTTCTCCCTTTTACATGCACATTTCTACAAAAAACTACACATCATAATTATTTAATAATAAGGCAACTAAATCCAAAAATCAGTCTGAATTTCCCTAATGATCTATATATTATGTGAATAAGTAGTCTAAATACTAAAATATTCCCTGAATTATGAATTAACAGAAAATTTTAAAAACAAAGCCTTCACTTTGTACACTATAATTGTCTGAACAAAACTTCACTGTAAACTTGCGCAATCAAGTCAAAATCAGCCAAACAACTAAGTACGTTGCTTACAAATTAGAAAGTTGTTTAAAATTTAATGAGTTGAACTTGCCTTTAAAATTGTTCTTGTAGTTGGCTGCTTGTTTACCGAATGTGTTCGGGACAGCTGTCTGGTCCGTCAGAACTAGACAGGGTGGGGCAGTCAGGGAATAAACTCTAGTTAGTCCTCGTCCTTGGCAAATTAGCGGGGAATTCCCGCAATAATACCAACCCACAAATACATAAATGTTGATGCTTTAAACGTGTTTGTTTCATTCAAAAGTGTTATGTGTGCGGTACTATATCCGCACGTTTCCTTGAGCCCCGGAATATCTACCCGCACACCTTTCCCAACACTAGTTGAATTAAGAATAAATGATAGTTGAGCGTTGTATACAAAATATGGCAACGAGAAATGCTAGCTCCCGTGTATTAGAAACTATTTTGCATCGAAAAGTGAACTACAAATTCGACGTAAAATTCCTTTTGTCCAAATAACCCAACTCCACACTCCTCTCGCATTTAGCGAAGCGAGGGCTCAAGACAACATGCGCGGATAATAGCTGTATAAGACCAAAAATTTGTGTGAAAATGGAATAATATTACCATTTTATTATTATTATTATTATTATTATTATTATTATTATTATTATTATTATTATTATTATTATTGTTATCATCATCATTAAAGTAGTAGCAGTAAAATGACAATAACGGGTAAATTTTACTTTTACTTTAAACATGAAACTGTGCAAATCTTGAAATTTATTTGCTACCAAATTAAATTATTTGCTACCAAAAATAATCATCTATTGTATAATATCTTAATCTATCTGTAACAAGTATTGTAGTATAATTCTTAGGTCAATGACCCCATCTCGATGAGGTTTTTTGTCCAGTTTCCCTGGTCCCTTGAGTAAACCCTGTAAAGGTCCCTTATTTCGATTCTGGACAGTAATATAACTTCACTTTACCCACCCAAGACATCATGTTGACTTGTCACACACAATTGTAATTGTATATGTGACTCAATAAATATTATTATTATTATTTGTGAAATGTACCGTTTGGACTGTTGTCATGAGCAAAAAGTAGTTTTGTTGTTTTCTATTATTGATGGTAGGACATTTACAAATAGAAATATAATTAGGGCAAGTGTGGATCTTTGCAGGACCCCATAAGTCACATCTCTTGATTTGGAGTGATTATTTTGTATTTTGTTGTCTTTTTGGTAACTACTACTACTACTTGTTTTTTTCTCTCTGTTAGATATAGTTTTATCCACTTGTTAGCAATTCCTCAGATTCCATAAGATTCTAATTTTGACAACAGACTTTTATTGGTCTATTGTGTCAATGGCTTTTGACAGGTAGTCAATGAAGAGACAAACTGGAATTTCATTTTTCTCCAATGCCATGAGGATTTCATTTACAAATGTGAATATAGCAGTTTCAGTTGATCGTTTTTCCCTAAATCCATGTTGTGAGTCAGTGTTAATGTTACAGTATATCAGGTAGCTCTTTAACCTTTCTTAGAATAGTTTCTCTAATATTTTTGAAAATGCTGACAAGAGTGAAATTGGTCTAATTCATTACATCTTGCTTACCTCTTTTGTGGATAGATTTAATTACTGCAGTTTTGAATATGTTTGGGAAGAAGCCGTACATTAGAGATTAATTGAATAAATATGTTAATGGTTTATTGATGTATAGAGCAACCTCTTTTATTAAGAAGTCTGCAATGTTGTCTATCCCAGCCGATTGTTCATTTTGCGTTTTGTTTATAATTTGATATATATCCTTTTCTGTTGTTTCTGTGATGTATATACTAGAAGGTGAGTTTTTAAAAAAGGTGGTGGTTGTTAAAGTGTAGTTTTTGGATAACTTGTTTGTAGAAGTCTGCCAGCAATTTCAGAGAAATGTTTGTTGAATATATTGACTATTTCATTAGGATTTGTTATTTTTCAGTGTTCATGGAGTAGTTCAATATTTTGTATTGTTTTGTCATTTGCTGGTAAGGTTTTTTAACGAAGTTCCACATAGCGTTTGTTTAATTTTTGGATATTTTAATGTATTCATCGTTTGACAATTGTTAGGCCTTTATTATAACTTGTTTAAGTATGGCTGAATATGGCTTATAGTTGTTGACTATTTGATAATTGCAAGAGTTGTTTTGTAAGTGTATGAAGCTCATTTTTCATTCACAAGAGATTTTAATACCTTTTGTTATCCATGCTTTTGTTGTTTTGGGTCTTTTTTGTTTTGTGATTTAGTGGATGTGAGATGTTGAAATAATGTTTGATTGTATTAAAGAAAGTGTTAAACTTTAGGTTAATGTCAGATATTTCATATACATGACTATATTTCATTAGTTAAGAGTGAGATGAGTTTGTTCAAGTTTTTTGCATTATAATAATAATAATATTAATTGAGCCACATATACAATTACAATCGTGTATGACAAGTCAATATGATGCCTTGGGTGGAGAGAGCGAAGTCTATATTACTTCAGAAGCAAACAACGGCCATCTCAGATTTGCTCAAAAGACCAGGGAAACTGAACAAAACCTGAGTCGAATGGGGTCATTGGCCTAGAAATACAATACTTGTTACAGTTAGATTAAGATATATACAGTAGATAAATTATCTGCTAATTAATTAACATTTCAATATGATATTTTAAATGCTACTACTATTAAATAATTTTATTAATAATAATTACATTAATAATAATAATTACATTAATAATACATATCAATTATGTTTGCAACTACATCAAATTTAACAATAATAGTACATTATATATTTATAACTTGAAATGTGAGAGGCAAGTTTTGACCAGTTTTTTTCTTCTTCTATTCTCCTTCTATTTCACAGGATGTGATATGCAGTTCTTTTTTCTTTGCTTCAGCTTGAACAGTTCACATGAAACAGAAAGTCTAATGAATAAGAAATTCTTATTTATTTATATTTTTTTAAGGAAATGTTGTAATTGAAAATTCCTTTACACTGTAGAAATGTTGTTAACCAGGAAAGCTTTCAATTTACTTTTTAAATGTATGAATTGTTTATGTCTTTGATATCATTGCCTAGTTTGTTGGAAAGTGTAATCCCTCTATTAGGGTACTTTTTTTGATAAAGTGTATTCAGAGTGGGGAACGTGTAGGTTATCCTTTTGACGGTGTTGTAGTTATGTACATCAGAATTTAAAGTAAAAGTGTCTTTGTTTCCATGAGAATTTTCTTTGTGAAGACCACTATTTCAATATGTACATGCATGGTAGAGGAAGAATCCTTAGTTTATTGAACTAAAAACGTTTAATGCTTGTCTTCTTTATTGGATTTGCTTTTAGTCAGGTGGAATTTATTTGAAGAGTGAGTTGTGACTGAGCTCTGTATCATTAGTGGTGATGTTGTATGCGTATTGTGTCTCTCTAAAAGGATTTGTCTATTGCTGTTTGGGTGTTCTTGGATTGCCTAGTTGTGTGTCGGTTACTGCATCTAGATTATAGGAGGGTACTAAGTTTATTAGTTTTATTCTGTCCTTTTCATGAGTGATATTAGCTGAAGGTAGGAAGTTAATGTTTATATCATCATAGATTATATAAGATAATGTGCCCACTTTAATAATTATCCAAGATAGTTCTCCAATTATCTAGTTGTTACGAACATAAAATGAAATTTTTAAGAGGAGCCCTGATTCGGCTCGTATGAGGGAGAAACGTTTC